ATCTGTGGGCTGGCCTGGGAGACACAGACTGTGTGACAGTGACTCTGGGTGGCTGAAGCCCAAGCACAGAAGGAGGAGGTGGAGGATGGCAGCGGAGAGGGCAAAGACAACCGCACTCACACCCCCCCCCCGGGGGTCCATGTGGGAAGGTGGGTGTATGGACACTCCGAGGTGACCCGGGGAAGGGGCAAGGGATGAGCAGGGGTGAGGACACGGCATGACAAAGACTTCCTGGTGTCTGCCGAAGGCAGAAAAGGACAGGGCTGTCAGGGGTCTGGCCTTTCCAGAGGGGGACAGGAAGTCCCAACCACGTGACTCTCAGCATCATAGGACTTGTTGGAGTGCGGAGGGACCTGCTTGTCCACGTCTCCCGTGTGCTGACGTGCCTGGCTGGGGGAGTCGGACCCACCAAGACATCACCGAGGCCTCTGCCGGGAGCTTGTTTCCTAAACGGTAGTTTGTGGTTTCCAGTCTTAATACTCAAGTTGTTGATCCACTTTGAGTTCGATTTTGTGGACTGCAGTGTGAAGTAGTGATCAAGCTTCTGTTCCCCCCCTCCCCCCCCCCCCGTCCCCCACAGGGCTGTTCACCTTTCCCAGCACCACTGACGAAGGGACAGTCCTTTCCACGGCCCTGGATCCTGGGCTGTAAATTACTTGTCTCCAGGTGAGTGAGTGTGTGTGTATATATGTGTGTGTTTGTGTGTGTGCATGTGTCATTTATAGGATTTTTATCCTCTTCTTTGCTCTGTGCGTCTCTGTCTCTGTCCAATGGTCAAGCACCACATCTAAAATTTATATAATGCCACAAGCCAATGGTCTTCCAAAAAAAGTAATGGATAAAAATAAAAAGCGGTGCCATAAAAGGAGAGGGAGAACAAAAGGGAATGCCCTGCCACAGAGGCAGGGTGGGATGGGGGGGGTACGGGGGGTGGGAAGGATACTGGGACCCGTGGTGGTGGAGAATGGGCACTGGTGGAGGGATGGGCACTCGATCATTGTATACCTGAAACCCAAGCACAAAAATGTGTAAGTCTACAACTGCACCTCATGGTGTTTCACTAATAAAAAATTTTTTAAAAAAGCGGAGCCAACGAGAACAGCTCAAAGTTTAGAGCATGTGACGTGTTTTGTAAGCTCAAGGCCCTGAGTTTGATCCCTGGCACCATAGCGTCCTAAGCATCATGGGCAGGAGTGCGGAGCCCTCGGGTGGGCACTGCTGAGTCAGTATCATGCACCCCCGGGCCGCTGCTGGGGGTGCTCCTTTAAAAAGAAAATTTTATTTGTTTGTTTGGGGGCCACACCTGGCAGTGCTCAGGGCTTACTCCTGGCTCTGCATTCAGGAATCACTCCTAGCAGGGGTTGGGGACCCTATGGGATGCTGGCAATCGAACCCAGGTCAGCATGTGCAAGGCAAGTGCCCTCCCTGCTGTCCTATTGCTCCGGCCCCATAAATTTATTTTTAAATTAAATAATATATATATATTTTTTTCTTTTTGTGCATATGTGGAGAGCAGAGAGGGGAAAGTGAAGGACAGGAGAGGGAGGAGGTGAGGGAGATGACGTAAGGGAAAGGAGGTGGGGAGAGGGAATGTGAGGGGGAGAAATTGAGAAGAGAGTTGAGGGAGAAGAGGTGAAGAAGAGAAGGAGCTGAGGAAGAGGGTGTGAGGGAGAGGAGGTGAAGGAGAGGAGGTGAGGGAGAGGGTGAAGATGAAGGAGAAGGCAAGAGAAAGGAGGAAGGTGAAGGAGAGTTACGTAATCATTTAAAAATTTTAAAAATTAAATTTATATATTTTTAGAATCCACATGGATGTTTGGGCTTACAAAGTCTGCAGTTGAGGGCAGAGAAAGGTGATTTCTGGTTTTGTTTGGTTGGTTAATTTTAAAGCCACACCTGGCAGTGCTCAGGGCCAGCTCCTGGCTCTGAGCTCAGGGGCCACTCCTGGTGGGGCTGGGTCACAGGAGATGCCTGGGATCGAACCCGGGTCAGCCGCATGCAGAGACAACGCCGTCCCTGCCGTCCCATCACTCTGGCCTCCGAAGGACCATTTCTGGGACCTGAGCAACACAGTTGCTGGTCCTGTTTCATTGTCTGTCCTAGCGGCAGGTGCTGGGGGTGGGGGCAGTGAGGGTTGGCAGGCAGGAGGCTGCCAGCAAGCCTCAGAGCAGGATGAGTATGATTACCAAAATGAGCAGCAACACTGGAATGGGAGCTGGTGGAGGGGGGCCCTAAAGGTCCCGCAGAGCTGACTCACAGCACAGGGTGTTCCCAGGGGAGGGGAAAATGGGGCATTCCCCCCCCCCACCACACACACACACATACAGCGAGTCCAAACTACAAAGGATTGAGGCCGGAGTGGGCAGAGCACTGGCCTTGCATGCAGCAAACCCGGGCTCCATCCCAGCACCCCACAGGGTCCCCACCGTGACCCCTGAGAGCAGAGCATGGAGTCAGTCCTGACCACTGCCAGGTGTGGTCCCAAACCAAAACCTGCGTCAAATCAATGACTCCCCGATGCTAACTGCCCCAACTACCCCCTGGAGGAGTTAGTCGGGTTTTTAACCCCCTCCATCTTCAATATAAATTTAATTGACAGAAAAAAAAACAGGGGGAAGAGCGTAAGGGATGGAGCACGTGTTGGACCACCCTAAGCCCCCATCTTTCACCCTAGGGAGCAGAACCCTCACTTTGTGCCAGAGGGAACCCACAGTCTGGGCACGGAGCTCAGTGGAGAGCACAGGCCTTGCTCCTAGGGGTCATCTTGGGTTTGGTCCCTGGCACTGAAGGGCCCCAATTAAGGCAAGTTGGTCTTCCAGCCCCTGAGAGCTGTTCCGGCACATGAGGGTCTGTGGTGGTCGTGGCACTGACAGATTCTCACCCCAGACTTGGGCTTTAGTGGTGCAAGGCATTGGGACCCATCCAGGATATTGGGTGGGGACTTAAAGCCACCAGCATGCCTGGGGCTGGAGAGAGTCCAGTGGGGAGGGCCCCTGCCCAATCCAGGTCCCATCCCTGGCATCCCCTGGCATCCCATAGGGTCGCCTGAGCACCTTCAGGAGTGGTTCTTGAGTGCAGAGCCAGGAATAACCTCTGAGCACTGCTGGATGTGACCCAAAAAACTAATTAACTAAAATAAAATAAAGCCATTAGTGTGGACAGAAGCCCCCTTGGTCTTGGCACCCGGGACAGAGCATTGCATGCTGGGAAGAGGTGCCCTACAGGCCTCCTGGACGTCTGGAGGCTGGACAGTGAGTCTATGTCCCACCCCTCTCTGAGTCTCAGCCTGGTCCTGGGCTCCAAGGAGGTGTCACTGGCAGTATCTCAGCTGTCATGAATCACCCCCACTGGTTGAGATTACCTCGGGTCCACTGTGTGCATCTTTCCAAGGGACTGGTCTCATACCCAGGGGGTTGTGTGGCCCATTTCTGCAGGAAGACCAAGTTCAGATGCTTCTCTGGCCTCTGGCTGACCCCAAGTTCATCTATCATGTCTTGGATGTGATTTTGCAATGCAGGGAGGGAAGAGGGTACGCCCAAGTTCTCGCGAATTCTCTCAGACCAAGAGTCAGTTTGGCGCCTTTTACACCAGCTCCCCGGAGGGCCCCGGGTCCCACCAAACCTGCTGTGTTCTCACAAAATAGAGGCTCCGCCCTCGGGAGGAAGTGCTGGGCTCTCAGTGAAAAAACTGGCTGGGTCTGGTAGGATTTGGGGGACACAGGCCAGAGAGGCCCTACAATGGAGCACCTTTGTCTTTGTTTTTGTGTTTTGTTTTTGGTGGCGGTGCGGGGGCCACATCCAGTAAGGCTCAGGACTTAGTCCTGGCTCTGCCCTCAGGGACCACTCCTGATGGGCTCAAGGGACCGTATGTTGTGCCAGAGATCAAACCCGGGTCAGCTAACTGCTCCGCCCCCTGTGCCATCTCTCTGGCTCCTGTGATATCATGCTCAATCATGCCGGTGCTGAATTAACCAAGGGCAGTGTCCGATTATCTGTGGTCAACCAGATTCGGCGCTTCTGGACCCTCCCATAGGAGGTGCTGCTAGGAGAAAAGGGGCTGGGAAGAGGAAGGTTGGGGTTCCCTGCTGCTTCCCTGCCTTGGCTGCCCCTGTGGTTCCCCAACACTCCCCCAGCCCTGCCCTTTAAGTGCTTCTCCTCTGGCTACTTCCTCTGAAATAGCCTTCTCCCCTACCTGTCCAAATACACTCTAGGACACCCCACATCCGATACAACCAGTTCCAAATCAAGGGGCCATGTGTCCTCAGGTCAGTAGCCCTGCCTCTCTGAGCCTCACTTTTATTAAGTCAGATCCTGCAGGATATCACTTGACACGATTAACCAACAGGACATACTTCGCCCCGCATGGTGAATTCCGGGGCCCCTCAAACGCTTTCTCAAATGGGGGGGGACAACTGTGCCCTCAGGGTCCCCCAACCACCACTAGGAGTGATCTCTGAGTGCAGAGACAGGAGTCAGCTCTGAGCAACCCTGGGTGTGGCCCCCAAACAAAACAAAATAAACAATAAAGATCCACAAGAACGCAAAAGACAGACTGAGTTCCAAAGCAACCCAGTTTGATCAGGGGTGAATTGGGGTCCAGTTTACGTCAAAAAAAAGGCTAGGGCTACGGCAGAGAACGGACACGTCCAGTGTCGCATCCACTGGTGAATTTTACTGGTGAATTCTTGTTTTGTTTTGGGGGGTCACACGCTGCAGTCAGGGATCACTCCTGGCGGCACTTACAGGCCCTTATGGAATGTCGGTGGTCGAACCCAGGGTGCAAGCCAAGCGCCCTCCAGGTGGGGGGTGGGGGGAACTCTCACTCTAGCCCAAGATTCTCTAGTCTGGTGGTCCCTAAAGGCCAGGACCGGGATGCTGCGGGGCCGTGCGGCGCGGTCGCCGCTAGGGGGCGCGCGCGGCCCTCCGCGCAGGGGCCGCCGTCGGGCCGCGCTCTGATTGGCTGGAGGCCGTGGCCCGCCCGCTAAGAGCCGCTAAGAGCCGCCGCGGCCCGGCGCCCGCTGCAGTCTGCGGGGACGGGAGCGGCTCGGGAGGGACGCGGGTGGCCGCACACGCACACACGATGCTCGCCTGGTGGCTGCAGACCGGGCCCGAGAAGGCCGAGCTGCGGGAGCTCAATGAGCGGCTACACGACTACGTGTGCCGGGTGCGGGAGCTGGAGCGCGAGAACCGGCTCCTGGAGGACGAACTGCGCGGCCAGCGCGGCCAGGAGGGCGCGTGGACATCGGTCCAGCAGGCCCGCTTCGCGCAGGAGGCGCGCGGGCTGCGGCGGCAGCTGGACGAGCTGAGCTGGGCCACGGCGCAGGCCGAGAGCGAGCGCGACGCGCTGCGGCGGGAGCTGGCCGAGCTGCAGGGCCAGGGCCGGGAGGTGCGCGCGGCCCGCGGCCGCCTGGACGCCGAACTGGGCGCGCAGCAGCGGGAGCTGCAGGAGGCGCTGGCCGCGCGCGCCGACCTCGAGGCCCTGCTGGGCCGCCTGGAGGCCGAGCGCCAGCACCTCGCCGCGGCCCACGAGCGCGACGTGCGGGAGCTCCGCGCGCGCCACGCGCACCTCCGGAGCTGCAGCGTCCGCGTCCGCACCGCCAAGCCGCCCCTGCGGGAGGTGCAGGCCGGCTGCGAGCGGCTGGTGGCGGCGGCGTGGGACGAGACGGTGCAGCTGTACGAGGAGCAGGTGCGCGAGCTGAGCGAGGTGCTGCTCCGCGGTCAGGAGGACCGTTGCCGGGCGGAGGAGGAGGCGCGGCGGGGCGCGCAGGAGGCCGAGGCGCTGCGGCGCGAGGTGCTGGAGCTGGAGCAGCTGCGGGAGCATCTGGAGGACGAGCTGCTGAGGATGCACCAGGCCTACGAGCTGCAGGCCGAGGAGCGGCAGGTCCGTGCCCCGGGACGCCCCCGCTGGCCCGCGGCGCGATCTCCAGCCGCACAGAAGGGTGGGGCTGACCCATGGCCCCTACCCCACCCCCGGGTCCCTGGGGACTGCGGCGCTGGAGGGGTCTGGAGGGGCCTCCTCTGCAAGGAGGGAGATTTCCGCCAGGAAGTGGGTCCCCGAGAGTCCCTCCCCACCCCCATCTTGTCAGGTTTTTGGTCCGCAGTCAGTTTCTCCTCTCCTGGGGCGCAGAAGCCTAGGATCACTTTCACATTCCATAGACCTTGTTACCCACGTAAAAGGGCCAGAGACATCCAGAGGGTTAGTCAAGGCTCTTGGCTTGCTCCCTGCCTGTCCCAGATAGATCCCCAGCACCGCACAGGGTCCCCCTGAGCTCCCAGCAGGAGTGACCCCCAGGCAGAGAGCGAGGAGTAAGCCCTGCGCACCGCTGGGTGTGGCCTGCCCCCTCCAAAAATAATCATAAGACACCCCCCACGCTAGTTTTTTTGGTTTTGCCGGAATGGTTTCCCAGCTGCTGTGGCTTCCTGGGCCACCGTGGGGTTTGTTCTCAGGAGGGGCAGCCAGTGGGAGGCAGGAAGGAGCTTCCTGAGAAATGTTTTCTCATGGACAAACTGACGTCAGGTCTCTGGGTTGCTGAGAACCGTGCAAACTGGCTGGGCCGCCGGGTGATACACGAAGACCGAGGGAGAGAAATAAGTTTCTATTTCCGAGGGGCAGCACTGGTCCCTGCAGGGTGGCACCTGGGGCTAGTTTATGGCTCAGCACCCGGTGCAGTCCTAAAACTGGCCCCGCCCAGGGCAGGCAGAGCTGGGAAAGGTCCCAGAGGGCGGAAGCATCTCCGGAGCTTAGCTTAAAGTCACAGTGGCACCATTTCAGAGAGATTTTTAAAGAACCGTTTGTAGCCTTCAGTTGAAGGCCTGTGGGAGTTTCACGTGCTGGGTTTTGGGTTTGTGTGTTCCTCTGGGCCACATCCAACAGTGTTCAGCAGGGCTTAGTCCCAGCTCAGTGCTCAGGGGTCACTTCTAGCGGGGCTCTGGGTCGAACCTGGGTTGGCCGCATACAAGGCTCGCGCTTTACTCTCTCTCATTCTGGCCCTCCTGGTATTTGGGTGCATTCGTGGGGAAACAAATCACTAGACGTCAATGAGATGTGGTGAGAGATTGTGGATTGTAGGGAGGACACAGACCCAAGAGTGATTAGCAAAGAGTGGGTCGCTCTGTGGTCCCTCTGTGCCTGCCCGGGGCCTCCCGTCCACACTCCTCCTGATGCCCAGCCTTGTGCTCTCTCTAGAGAACCATCGACTGCCTGGAGGAGGAGAAGGCAGCCCTGACCTTGGCCATGGCTGACCGGCTGCGAGACTGTCAAGAGCTTGTGCAGGTGAAGACCGGCCTCAGCCTGGAGGTGGCTACTTACCGGTAAGGACGCGGGCCCAGGCAGAGAGCACAGTTGAGCCTGAGTGGGGACCCCTGGGCCAAGGCAGCTGGAGGGAGAGGTGTCCGCCCAGCCCTGGAGGGAACAGCCCATCCAGGCACCCTGGTTCTGGGCACCATGGGAGAGTTGCCACGTATTCATACGGCTCATTGTAGCAGGAATTGGGGACAGGTGAGCAAGACTCCTCCCTACTGGTCCTCCTAGCTGCCCCTCTCGGCTTCCCTGGCCCAGCCCACACTGGCCCCACCCACATCAAAAGTACCACTCACACTGGCCCCGCCCACACCTCTGTATCGCCCACAACGACTCCGCCCATAATGGTTCCACTGACTAGGGCTCTGCCCATCCTGGTTATGCCCACATTGGCTCCGTCCACAATGCCCACGCCCACAATGGCAGGACCTCCTCCCCCAGCGGACTGAGGCATAGTCAGAGCTGGTGGCAACTTCCTTGCATCTAGCCCGCAGAACTCTTAAGAGACTGTGCCAGCCCAGATGCTCTGCCAACTCTGGCCTCCTGCCCAAAGGTGTCAGCAGAAAATGATGATGGGAATGATGGTAGGAAGCTGTCCCAGATGCCCTCCCCGGGAACACCATCGTGGGCACACAGAGCTGTCAGATCTTCCCCTTTCCCGCTGGTGATGGTTCTCCCGGATGGTGTAGAGAGACACATTTTGTGCTAATTAGACCAGGGGCTTTTTGTTTTCTTTCCTTCTTTTTTTTTTTTTTCCTTTTCTTCTGGTTTCTAAACCCCACCCGGCGTTGCTCAGTGCTTATTCCTGACTCTGCTCCAGGATTGCCTGGCAGGGATCAGGGCACTCAGGTGCGGGGGTTGGAACCCCAGTCTGCTGTGTGCCCTACCCATTGTACTATCTCTTCAGGCCTTGTTTATGATATTTATTTATTTATTTATTTTTATTAGTGAGACACCACGAGGTACAGTTGTAGACTTACAAATTTTTGTGCTTGGGTTTCCATTATACAATGATCAAATACCCATCCCTCCACCAGTGCCCATTTCCCACCACCACGGATCCCAGTATCCCTCCCACTCCCCATCCCCCCATCCCACCCTGCCACTGTGGCAGGGCATTCCCTTTTGTTCTCTCTCTTCTTTTGGGTGTTGTGGTTTGCAAAAGATTGTTTATGATTTTTTAACAGCTCATTTAATTTTGATTTGGTTTTGGACATACCTGGTGAGGTCAGGGCTTTCTTCTGGCTCTAGTGCTCAGGGACCAGTTGGGCCTGGACTGTTCTAGGAATTGAACCCCAGGTCAGCGGCGGCAAGGCAAATGCTCTACCCACTGCACTACCTCTCTGCCCCAGGACTTTAAGGCTTGGCCGTCCCAGTTCAGTCCTTGCAGGGAGTGACCCCCAAGCACAGTCAGGAGTAGCTCCATGAGTAAAATACTCGGCCCGCACCCCGAAAGACTAGACGCCCTCCTAAATTGCCATTCTCTGTCACGATAAGCGAGGGTGAGCGTGGTTGAGGGCCAGCCTTCTGGGGTTGCCCACACGGCCCCGGTCAAGGGCACTGCTGGGGAGCCCCGCCAGCAGCCTGTGTGCCCACGATGGTGTTCCCGGCTTGGGGCTGGCATTTCCCTCACCCAGTTAGGCAGTGACCTGGCTCTGTCCGAGGAATTGAGTCATGGGCTCTTTCGGGCATGAAGGGATCTATGTCACGGTGCGCCTCTCAGAGGCCGGCTTTGCCCTGGGGGAGGGTGAGAACTGTGCCTCCCCCACCCCCATTCCTGCAGCCTGGAGGTGCCCAGCCCAGCCTTCGCTGCAGAGCCAGCCTTGGACACGGACCAGCGGGCCTCGGTGCTTTCTGGGAAGAAGCCGCTGGTCTCGCAGACAGACGTGCAGGCCGTGAAGGAGCTTGGCTTTTCTGGTGGTGGTTACGGCGTGCTGGGAGTCGAACACGGGTCTCCTGCACACAGGCGCGCACTTTACCCCTCAGCCACCTCCCCGGCAGCAGTGCCGCCAGCTCTGGTCCTGTCTCCAGTCTTGAAGTGACCGGTTCACAGATCTCCTGGCCAGGATGCTGTCATTGCTTTATTTTACTTGCGCTTTTTACCTTTTTCATTATTTTTCTGGTGGGGTGAGGGATCAAACCCAGGGCCTCACATATACAAGGTTCTGCAATAGTTTAATTATTTATTTATTTTTGCTTTTGGGGTCACACCCAGCTCTGCACTCAGGAATTACTCATGGCGGTGCTTGGGGGACCATATGCTGAGAATTTAATCCAGGTCCGCCATGTGCAAGGCAAACGCTCTCCCCATGGTACTATTGCTCCAGCCCCCTCCATGATGGTTTTAATGCTGTTTCTAGTTGTTTCATCATTGGGGTGAGGGGACAAGCAGTGCTCAGGGACAGCCTGGACAGCTCAGTGGGTGCATCAACGCTCAGACCCAGTGCTCTGGAGTGCCCTGGTCCACACCTGGCCCTGCTCTGGGGCCTCCAGGCTACCCTGGTGGTGTTCTAGGGTCTGTGTGGTGTACTGGGGCCTGTCCCCAGCCCCAGGACCATCAGTTTTTCAAGCCTTTGTACATCTGTGTCCAGAGGAAAATAGGTGTTTGGGAGGCTCAGGAAATACGTTCTGTTTTTTGGTAGCTCAATGTCACTGGTGAGAATCTTAGAGTGTTAACATTGCTGTTAGTAACGAGTCAGCTTATGGGCGAAGTCTTTGAAATGAGTAGGATCTCCCAGATGGAAGAATGCACATTGAGGGATTCAGTGGGTCACTTTGGTTCTGAGCCTCAGCGAGTTAGCCCACAGTTGGGCATAATTTTAGGGTATTTCGCTGGTACTGGGACTGCTCCTGGTTCTGTGCTCAGGAATCACTTCCTCCACCCTTTTACTTTGTTTTGGGGTCACACCCAGCGGTGCTCAGAGATCACTGCTGGTGGGGCCTGGGGTTCATATGGGATGTCAGGGATTGGGATGTCGGATGTCAGGGATTGAACCGGAGTCAGCCACAAGCAAGGCAAACAAACACCCTACCCGCTGTACTATCACTCCGGCTCCCTCCCCACTGTTCCTCCTGACCCCTCTTCCTCCTGACCCTTCCCTCCTCCTGACCCCTCTTCCCTCCTGACCTTTTCCTCCTCCTGACCCCTCCCTCCTCCTGACCCCTCCCTGCTCCTGACCCCCTCTGTCCTCCTCACTCCTCCCTCCTCCTGACCCCTCCCTCCTCCTGACCCCTCCCTCCTCCTGACCCCTCCCTCCTCCTGACCCCTCCCTCCTCCTGACCCCTCCCTCCTCCTGACCCTCCTCCCTCCTGACCCCTCCCTCCTCCTAACCGCTTCCCTCCTGACCCCCTCCCTCCTCTGAGCCCCTCCCTCCTCCTGACCCCTCTTCCTCCTGACCCTTCCCTCCTCCTGACTCCTCCCTCCTCCTGACTCCCCCTCCCTGCTGATCCTTCCCTCCTCCTGGCCCTTTTCCTGGTGCCCAACCCCTGGTGTCGCTGTGCCCCTGGGGACACTATGTTCACTCCCATTTCCTGAGGAGTCAGGGTGCATTTCAGCCCTGCCTGCGGGTTGGGGTCCCTGACTGCGGGCATCCCAGGAGAACTCTGTAGGGACAGAGGCAGGGTCAGGAGGCTTGGGGTGATGTGAAGGTCCCAGAAGGGACCTTTCCTGCTACCTGCACCAGCCCTCTGCACCCGCCCCAGCCTCTGGGGGGCCAAGGGCCCACCCTCAGGGTCCTCATGGCATGAAGATTTGAATCTCCCCAGAAGGAAGCCCCCAAACTGCTCCTTTGAGGGTGTTGAAGAGAGATGCCCCTATTTGGGATTCCTGGTGTTCCCCAGCCTGCTGACCTGGGCAGCTCCACAGGAAAGGGCCTGGAAGGGAGGATCTGAAATAGAATGCTCGGGCCCCTGTGCCCTGAACTGCCATCGTAGGGGGGACCGGACCACCAGGCCCTGCGGCGCACCAGCCTCTCCGCAGACATGAGGCCGGTTCTCGGGGCTAGAAGCTATTTGTGGTCTTGGAACGGAAAACGCTTGGTCATGAGGGCTGGGATCGAGGCCGGTGTCCTGTTTCCCGGCTCCCGCCAAGCCCAGGCCACTCCCTGCACCCCACATGCCCCCGTGGCCCTACAGCAGAAACCCCTTTGCTCTGAAGGGGGTTCCCTAGCCTTTTTCCTGCCCATGGGCTGTAGGTACCAGCCCCTTAGGGCCTTGGAAATGGGAGGTGCTGACCTGGTGTCCTGCCAGGGTTGGTGGCCACCCGGAGGTGTTGCCACCTCCCTGCTGGCCCTGCCTGGGACCCCTGCCCACTGGGGGCCGCATTGGGGGGGTGGGCAACTCCCTTGGTGTCCCGAGGTTCTCGGACAGCGTTCCCATGCCATTCCCAGCCCAGAGGCCTGCTGTTCCTACCCTGCTCAGTATCAGGTCTGAGTAGTAGCCCTGGTTATCAACTGAAAAGAAACTTCTAGACTTTTCAGAGCAGCCTCTTCACTGGCTGCTTCCTGGCCTTTTCTTAGGGGGTTCAGCCTATCCCTTTCCTTCTTCTCAGATCCCCTCACTTCTTCTCTTACTTTGAAAATGAGTTTATTTGGGGGGGGTGAGGGGGGTGCCACAACTGTAGTGCTCAGGACTCGCTTCTGGCTCTGTGCACAGAGATCACTCCTGGCAGCTTGGGGGAACCTTTCGCTTACCCACTGGACTCTCTCTCTCCGCCCTCACTTCTTAAAATATTTCATTTTGGAGGCCTGGAGAGATGGGACAGCAGTCAGGGCACTTGACTGGCACACAGCTGACCTGGGTTCGATCCCCAGCACCCTATAGTGGTCCCTGAGCCCTGCCAGGATTGATCCCTGAGCACAGAGCCAGGAGTCATCCCTGAGCAGTGCTGGGCATAGCCCAAAAACAAAAGTAAGAAATTGATATTTTTCTAGAGGCCACCTCAGCTGTGCTGTTTGGGAGGTTGGGGCCACTCTATGGTGCTTGCCCCAATGGTGGGGGCCTCTTGGTGCCTGGACTCAGGGGCCCCTGCTGGGCCAGGACTTGAACCCAGAGCCTCACACATGCCAGGCAGATCGCATTCCTCAGAGCCACCTCCCAGCAAGTCTCCACCAGCAGTTTGCAAACCTGCGACCTCATATCTTTATTCTGAGCATTGCGCCCCCTCTGCACCAGCTCTCCTTGTGGGTTGCAGAAAGAGCTCAGGGGAATGTAGTTCTAGAAGGTTCTGGAAACTTCTACTTCTAGTTGAGGTGCCTGCATGTCTTGTCTACCTCCCTGGGTCTTAGAAAGGGCCTCCTAGAAGGACCAGGTTCTCCCCAATGTCAGAAAGCCAAGTTCCTTAGTTCCTTCATGCCGGGGAGAAAAATGCCCCAATTTTCCGAGTCGTGTGGCCTCTGGCTGGGCATCAGGAGGGCTCAGAGAGTGGCGTTTCATGCTCCAGATCCTCGTGAGCCCTTCCCCCAACTCTCTTCTCTCACACAGAGCTTTGCTGGAAGGAGAGAGTAATCCAGACCTGCTCATCCTCACGGAGCGCCTGGAACGTTTGCCACAAGGTACAGCGGAGAAGGGCTGGTCCCTGGGCATGAGTGGGTGGCGGTGGGGTTGGTGACATTTGTCTGCAGGAAGGGGGTCGGAGGGTGGGAGGCGGCTCAGAGAGGCCTGGAGCACAGGTCTTACCTGCAGGGCCCCCAGATTTCATCCCTAGTAGCGCCAGGCGTGGTCCAGATGAAAAGTACCCGGAAAAGGAAGTTGAGGAGGTCTTGATGAGGGTAGGACTGGCCCACTTTGGAGCTGGGCAGGGGCCAGGAGGAATATCTTCGATGTTCTGTTCATTCCATCTCCACAGAGTTCAGAAAATCCATCTACAAATACACCACCTCCCCGTGGCAGCGCGAGAACCAACGGAACCTCCTTTCCAGTCAGAAGGCATCTTGGACAAGCTCGTACCGTCCCCGGCAGGCTGACCCCGCAACCCGGCGGGGTATCTCCAGCTCTTTCACCACGACCGCAGACACTTATAGAATATTCAACGGGGAGACCAACCTGCAGACCTTCCCTCCCAGCCGTGGCCTTTTGAAGCTCCCCGCAGCTGTGCTGGAAACGTCCCCCAGGAGACCAGGAGCCCGAGGGGCAAAGACTGGCCCCCTACACATAGCCAGGGAAGTGGCGGTGGTCCGCGAGCCGTCCCCGGCACGCCGGGCAGATGGGACAGCCAAGGAGAGGGTCGTCGTCTTGGAAAGGAAAGTGGAGACGCAGGGGCCGGAGAGCAGGCGTGGAGAGAAGACGATTGAGTCCAAGGAGAGGGCATCGGAGGCGCGGAACCTGCAATGGGAGGGCCTGACCAAGCTGGACAAAGAGGCACGCCAGCGGGCGGTTGGGCAGCTGCAGGAGAAGACCAGAGAGAGGACGCCCGAGCGGCCCAAGAGTGAGGCAGAAAGGGAGGTGCTGATCCCCGTCCGGGCACCCCGAGACCGAGACCGCAGCCCGGCGCGGGCCCCAGAAGCTTCCCCGGAGCCTCAGCGGAAGGCGGCCACGAGTGGAGCCGGGGCTGGGACGGGGGCCAGCCAGGAGCAGAGCAGATCCCGGCTGGGCTCCCCAACAGGGGGCGACCCTACCACCCAGGCGCTGGCAGAGCACATCGTATCGGGGATCCTGCAGCAGCTAGCCGGCAGCCCCGAGCCCGGGTCGCCCACACGCTCCATCCCCGACACCAAAGTCACCTACGTGGGCCGGGAGGAGCGTCCGGACGACGGGACCACCCAGACTGAGATCGTGGTGGAGTCCAAGCAGACGGAGGAGGTGGACGTGTCCGACAAGGCCGGGCTGGATGCACTCCTGAATACGGACACCTTGGAGGCCGAGCTGATGGGGGGCCAGGCCGAGCGGCTCATCGGGGACCTGGTGCAGCGTGGGCTGCAGGGCCGGGCCCGCGTGGTCAACGTGGAGATCGTGGAGGAGTCCCGGAGCTACAGTGAGCCCGAGGAGGAGGAGACGGCGGCGGGCGCGGCCCCGTTCCGGGTAGAGGAGGTGGACTCCTCCCCGGGGTCCGGGGACGAAATGAGTGGCTTGGTTTGGGGGGGTCCCCGAGGGGAGAGAGCGCGGCGGCAGCTGCCTGGAAAGGGGGCCCCAGTGGAAGGAGCGACGCAGGTCGGGGAGTGGGTGAGGGAGCTCAGCTACTTCGTGTCCACCCCGGATGACCAGCCGGGGGACCATGAGGATGAGGAGGGCTCCGTGTACGGGCAAGTCCACGTGGAGGACGAGGCCGCCGGTAGCTACTCCTGGCGGGACGAGCTGGTGCCCGGGGCCGGGCAGCGAGGGAAGAGGGACGATGTGGGAAAGGAAGTGGGCGCAGGCCCTGCCCCCTGGAAGGAACGTTCTGGAAGTGGCCAGGTCCGCGCTGCTGAATCTGTCGTGATAGAGAAGGAAATGAGGGTCCATACCTCCGCGGGGGGCACCTCATCCTGGGAGCCGGGGTCCCGGATGAAGGAAGTGCTGGGGCAGCTAGAAGAGAATCTTCCAGAACGCATGAGGACGGAGCTGTCCACCATCGCCCGCGAGGCCCAGGGTGGACCGGGGACTGTGTCTGTGGACGTGCAAAAGGTTCAGGCCGCGGGCGGTGGGGGCATGACCTTTGTAGCCGAGGTCAATCTCTCGCGCACACTGGATGCCCACCAGGTGGACCTGGAGGAGCTGGACCGGGCCGGGACCGGGGAGGTGGAGCGGGCGGTCCAGGCAGTGGTCCGGGAGAGTTTGGCCAGGCGGCGTAGCCCCGAGCCAAGCAGCCCCCCAGACCACGATGACAGGGAGATCCCTGGGGCCGGGGTGCTCTTTAAGCGCTGGGCCACGCAGGAGCTCTACAGCCCGTCCACAGAGTCGGGGACGGGAAAGGCCACCGTGGAGGTCAGCAGCTGGGCCCGGTCGCCTGTGCGGGATGATGAAGGCCCGACTGTGAAGCGCATTGAGATCAGCCCCTCGGGCATCTGGAGGACTGAGCCCGGCTCCCCCAAAGGCTCCGGGACGGAGGTGGTGCGGGTAAGTGGAACGGGCCCCTCGCGGCATATGGGACAGCTGTCCTGGGGTCCCTGTCCAAGCCTGAGGGGGTGGGGATGGGGCGAAGGAGTTTCCGTCGTATGTCTGTCCCTGCAGGTCAGCAGGTGGTTTAGGGTTGGGGGGTCCTTCCACAGAGCCCCCTAGAAGGCCCTTGAATACCAGCCACCAGGACCAAAAGGGCTGGGGAGGGCACCCTGAAAGGATCTGTGGGCCTCAGACTTCTGTAAGTCACCTTCAGGGAAGGCCCTGGAGGAGATTCCGGGTGCGAGCCCAGTTCCAAGGCCCCCTTCAGACCAGAGGAGACCTCTGAACCCAGGAATGGTGGCCAGGGAAAGGCTCATTCAGAAGGTGGGTCAGAGTTGGGGTTCAAAGGCCTCAGTGGGGGGCCGGGGAGTTAGAACGGCGGGGAGGGCACTGGCCTGGTAAGCAACTGACTCGGCTTGATCCCTGGCACTCCCCCACCCCCCAGGGACTCCCGAGCCCTGCCAGGAGTGATTTCTGAGGGCAGAGCCAGGAATATACCCTGAGCACTGCCAGGTGTGGCCCAAAAACACAAAACCAAAATCGAACAGTCTCAGCATCCGAGCAGGGTTCTCCCACGTGGGACATCAGTGCCTGGGAAAGTTGGGCCACACGGAGTGACCCCCCCTGCTGACCAGGTCACAGGTGGAACTCCAGTTCTGGGGGGGTGGGGGTGGGTTGCTGTCGAAGGTGGGGCCTGAGCCTGAGTTTCAGCCCTGGCCAGCGGGTCCACTGTGGAACTCTGGCAACCAGTTCCCAGAACATTTTCCCTGGCTGGGGGTTTGCAGGTGGGGTCGGGTGGGGGTATTACTGGAGCCAGGCCACGTGGGAGACCGCGGCAACCCCAAAGCAACTTTGTCTCCTTTTCAGGTGGACGTGAGGAGCAAAGAGACGGCTGGGGCCCGGAGCCCACAGACCAGAATCTTCTTCCCCACATCAGTGACAGTGGACGTGCCTGACCCCAGGACCTGGAGAGACACTGGTGGGGGGAAGGAGGGGGCAGCCACTGGGGGGGGCCCCCTGTTCCCCAGGGAGCTGGGCAAGGAGCTGGCGAAGTCGGTGCAGAGCCCGAGGACAGAGGACCAGGGGCCGGTGGTGTCGGGGGAAAAGAAAGTTGCCCTCTTGTATCTGGATGACCAAGAGGAGCAGGACGAGGGCCATTGGTTCTAACGAAGAGCAAGGTCCTGCCTTCCGGGTGTCCGTTTGGGGACACGCGCACTTCTACTTGTGTTAACGGTGGGGGCCGCTGGGCAGAGGGCCCCACCTTTTTAACAAAGGCTCTTCCAAGGGAGTTTTGCCCGTTCGCTTTGCAGTCTGTGAAGGGTTCCAGCTCATTCACACCTTAAAACGAGAGGGTGGTGGGTTCTGAAATTGATCTTTGAGGGGGGCTTCGACAGAAATCACTTTTCTTTCTGGAGACCTTCAAAGTTCCCCCCCCCACCCCCCCCACACACACCTGCTATTTTTATTTTTTGCTGGACTTCATTTCTAGGGCTACTTTTGTTTGCACCAGCTCACGGAAAAGCCTCGCATGAATGTGACACTTGTGGATCTATTGATCAGCTGCCTTCTGGGGTGTAAGGAGGAAAGTGTCTCTTGAAGAGGAAGTTGTATTTTGCATGTACTTGTAGGAAATAGTCACCGAAAATTGTAAGGAAAAAACATCCTTTCCCAACCCCTTTTTCTTTCCAAAGTCTTAGAAAAGAAACAGAATACTTAGTTTTTTGTTTTTTTTTAAGAAAAAAATGTGATGATTTCGCTTTAGGAAAAAAATGTCTACATGAGGAGTTGGATTCATTTTAAGACTGGAATGAATTGCTTTCAGACTGATGAGCAATATTCTGTTTATGGGGTGTGCAGGCTCCATCTTATGCCAGATTGCAAAAGGACAGGCCTGATAGGTTCTTGAGCCCTCCATGGGGCCCTGTGAGTGGAGTGGGGATGATTCCTAGCTCGGCTGTAATGGAAGGAGAGGTTTCTGCCTTTGTACAGTACAGGGTGAAGGCACTTGCCCTGCATGCGGCCGGCCCAGGTCAGATCCCTGAGCCCTGTCAGGAGTGACCCCTGGGCACAGAGCCAGAAGTAAGCCCTGAGCACTGCTGGAGGTGGTCCCCAAATGAAAATCACAAAATTTTATTATCTACCCAGTGGGTTGACAGGTGCTGGCCCCAGGCTGGTCCCAGTTTTACAGCTCAAGACTCAGACTATCTGGTCCAGCCAGGAAGATGTTCACAGAAGTGATTTTTCAGTGAGAATCTGGTCTGAAGGGAGAGGAAGAGTTAGACCCAGGAGTGGCCACTGGGTCTGAGGGTAAGAAGGTTAAAGAGTTTATTAGATGGGGCTGCGGAGGCAAGACAGTGGGGCGGGCGATATGCCCTGCACAAGGCCGACCAGGGCTCAATCCCCAGCATCCCCAAATACTGCCAGGAGTGATCCCTGAGCACAGAGTCAGGAGAATCCCTTGGGTGTAGCCAAGAAACCAAGAGAAGGAGGGAAAAAGTTATCAGGAGATAGTGAGATGGTTTAGGTGGGAGCACAGCAAGTTTGTTGAGAGAGAGAGAAAGAGTGTACACTGGTCAGTTGGCCAGATGGAGGCCTCCGGAGAGAGAGAGAGAGAGAAAGAGACCCATGTGTCTGCAGGGACAGTCTCGCCCTGTCGGGCATCTTGGGGGGCCCTTATGCTAGACCACGTCCTGCTCCAGCTGACAGCCGGGACAGAGCACGGGCACCTGGGTCTGGTGTCAGCATCCTTTTCTGCAGTCTTGTGCCCACGGGCACGTGTGGACAAAGTTCCCGTTCCACCGGCCACTCCAAGCTGGCAGCTGGGAGTCAGATCTTCATTTCTGTCTCCCCACCAGAGTGCGCGCTGGGGAGAAGTTTCTCGTTGAGACTCTTCGGGAGATGTGGAGACCTGAGCTGCCAGGGGGTCTCGCCTGCCCGCCCGCACCCCTCATCCTGCCTGTCCCCCTCTGCCCTCTGGCCTCTCTGGAGACCACGGAAGAGAACTCGGCAGCTGCAGGGGGCCAGGGCACGACCAGTCTTTCCCTCTTTTCCTCGTTTAGATAGAACTGTGCTTCTGGAATGTTCTTTCCCTCACCCGGGCTGCTCTGGTAGAGTGAGATGTTCGCTTAGCGGGGGCGCCTCCGGACAGCTGATCTTGCTTCTGTCCCCCGTTGCTTACAAAAAGTAATGCCACGAGAATGTGTATCAATAAACAAATGAAGACAAGGACATTTGTCTTCAAAGAGAATCCGTGTTTTCTGTAGATGTGGCTGTGGGTTCTGGTCAAACCACCCTGTGTGCTATGTGGGTTTGTTTGTTTGTTTGTTTGTTTGTTTTTAGGGGAGCTGGGTGTCACAAGAGAACTGGCTGGCAAGAGAATATTCATGAAAAGCTCTTTAATTGCTTGTACAAACCAGAACTCCCTGTTGTTGCAGTGAACTGGACAGCCATGGTGGCTGAGTGTCAATCATTATATTAAGAGATCGATGCGGGGATAGTGAGACAGAAGAGGGGTAAAGGCAGAGAGAGTGCAGGGGTGAAGCCCTGGCCTTGTACAAGTCAGTCAGATTCTGTCCCCAGCACTCTCTGTGGCTCCCAGGCACTACTGGGGCTCACTCCTGAGCACCAATAGGTGTGCCTCCCACAGTGCCCCGAAATCAAATACATCTGAGCATACTGGCATCACCCCCCAGAGGGGGACGCTGGACCACCCCATTTGGTCGGGAGTGGGGGCTCCTGGGGGCTCCCTCATTATTGGTGTTTCTCTGGGTTATTTGGAGGGCCACACCCAGTGGTGCTCAGGAATCACTCTGGGGTGCTCAAGGGACCCATTGGAGTGCCACGGATCGAACCTGGGTCGGTCATGTGCAAGACAAGCCCTCCCTGCTGTCCTATCACTCCGGCCTCCATCACTCCATCATGCCTGATTCTTAGGAGTCTGGCGGGGGAGGGGGGGTGGGGGAACTGGAGGTGGAGGAATTCCTGACCCGGCCCTTCCTCTGTTCACCTTTGCCACCCACTTGAATGGCTGTCACATTCCCCTGCCGTCCAAGGGGACATCTCGCGGCTGTGAGGTCCCTGCCTTCACTCATCTCGGGCTCGGGCGGGGTGTGGAAACACAGCAGCGACAGGGACGAAGGTGTTGGAGCTGCGATTCCAAGATATTCTCCTCCGATAATTAGCAAAAGCAACAGACCAGAATTCCTCCCCTGCTCCCCCATCCCCCAAAATAAAATCCAGTGAGGCCATTCTGAGTGTGGTCAAGCTGCAGTGACCGGAAAGCCTGCCCGGAGCTGGGACAGCCATAGGGTCTGCCGGGAGGGCCACTTGGCAAAAGAGACCCTCGCCTACTCCCAGCAGGTGCTAACCCTACTCCTTGCAGCCTGGTCCCCAGCGTCACCTGACGACAGTGCACAAGGTTTGGGGGGCTCTAAGCAACTCTTGGGAGACCAGGAGGAGGTTTTCGGGGCTGAGACAAGCTTTGCATCAGAGCCCCGGGCTTGCTCCCAGGCACTGCATGGTCCCCTGGGCATTGTCACGAGAGAGTGGAGGAAGCCCCCAGCTTCACACAGCAGGAGGAGACCCGCTCCCAAATGGATAAAGCATCAGGAATGGAACCATAGGACACTGGGGAGGGCACTTGCCTGACAGGGGCTGACCCGGGTTTGATCCCCGACACCCCTTATGGTCCCCTGAACCCCGTCAGGAGTGATTTCTGAGCACAGAATCAGGAGTAAGCACCTGAGCACCTCTGGATGTGGCCCCCAAATCAAATCAAAGCCAAAAGAGGAGGAGAGGAGAAGGAGGAGGAGGAGGAGGAGAGGGAGGGGGAGGGGGAGGAGAGGGAAGGGGAGGAGGAGGAGGACGGACGGACCAGGGGCATCACCTTCGCAGCACTGAGCTTCGGGATGATTTTCCCCACTGCTGTGGTTGCAGCCTGGGTGCGGGTCTGTGGGGGAGAGAGACCCCCCTACCCCTCTGGGGCAGCACTTCCTGAGTGGGACCTCTGATTCCTGTGGCAGTTGTCGTCTCAGTGGGCAGTGCTGGGCCTGGCCCTCCCAGCGGGCCGGTGCGAGGACGCACCGGCAGGGGATGGGGGTTTGGTCTTCAGAGGCTGCCTCCGCTTCGAGGCCATCTCGGGGAGCCTGCAAGGAAGCAGAGTGGGGTGTCCCTGAGAGCGTTGCCCGCCCAGGAGCCGGAGACGCCCCCTCTTCCGCAGGCGTTTTTGTGAGGAGGACCAGAACAGTCGGCAGGGGCACCGGAAAACCCTGGATTCTGTTCCCTTCTTAGCCAACCGAGTCGACCCTCCTTGTGACTGTGAGCAGGAGCCCAGGGAGAGGAGCCGGCACCCTGCAGTCAGCCAGGGGCGTTTCTCTCCTCCGTGGCTGAGCAGGGGCGAAGGAGAGGAAGCCCGAGGGGTGCGGGCTGCCCTCCGCAGAGGAACCCCAAGAGGGCAAGGTGACACCAGGAGGGACACAGAGGCAGGAGGATCAGGGACTGACTGCTCAGGACTGGAGTGATAACAGCAGGGAGGCCATTTGCCTTGCATGTGGCCGACCCGAGTTCAACCCCCTGAATCCCACCTGGGGTGATTCCTGAGTGCAGAGCCAGGGGCAAGCCCTGAGCACTGCCAGGTGTGACCCAAACTAACAGAGCTGATTTCTTCCCCCTTTCGGGCCAAGGGGATAGTGGGCAGCTGGCTTTTCAAAGGACCTGATCTTAGGGGCCAGGAGTGGGCCCATCCCTAGCACCACACTGAGCTGGAGGGAGCCCCTGAGTACCTCCAGGTGTGGCCCTCGAGACTGAAGGGCCTGTTCTTTGTTGCCGAGGGACAGGGAAGTTCACCTTGAGGGGCAGCAGCGGGCAGCACCAGCTCACCTGCTCAGGCTGTCCAGCGCCTCCCGTGTGGCCTGTGTCCTCCTGTCCTGGGCTCCGTACATCAACGTCTGCAGCTGCAGGCACTATGGGGACCAAGGCAGGTGTAAGGTCATGGGAAGGGCAGAGGGCAAAGGTCAGACTGAGGGGTGGGGAGGGGGTGGAGGGGGGTTGGCGTGGGGTGGGGGTCTCATGCTGATTCTCAGCTGCCTGTTATTTCTTTGGGGGCCACACCTGGCGGTGCTCAGGGCCAACTCCTGGCTCTGTCTGTGCTCAGGGGTCACTCCTAGCAGACTCGGGCACCATATGGGATGCTGGGGCCCAAACCCGGTTTGACCACAGGCAAGGCAAACACTCAACCTCCGTACTATGGCTCTAGCCCCTAATTTAACAGTGTGCCTTTTATGGAACCCCTGTTGAAAGCTGGGCATTGGGCCAGACAGCGTGCAGGGGTACAGGCACTGGTCTCACACATGGCAGACCCGGGTTCAACCCCCAGCACCCCTTTGGCCCCCTGAACAACCCCCAGCGTGATCCTGGAGCACCACTGGGGTGGCACAAAAGCCAAAATAAAAATAAAAGACCATGTTTAACAAAGCCATTAGGGTGTCTGGGAAGGGCCCCCACCTCAGAGGCGGTTACTGGAGGATATTCGAGAGGGGAGGGCCTGGACAGGTCCTCAGGGCAGAGGTGAGCTGTTTCTGGAGCGAGCCCACCCTTAGGAAGGGTAGGCTTGCTCCCTGCCTGGCAGGGCTCCGGGGCTGAGGGCAGTGTCCGTCCTGATCTGCCCACTCCTCCGAGGGCTGAGGAAGAACAGGCAGCTAAAGGGCTTCGTGTTCCGCCGAGAGCCCATCGAAATGTTGGGGGGGCGGGGACAGAGAGGGGCAGTGCTTCTGGAAGCCGTCAGGAGGCAAGAATACCCGAGTGAGCAAACGCAGCAGAGAAACAGCAAAGCACACTGCTGGAGTCACAGACGGCCTGGCTGAGGCAGGCAGCCTGGCACCAGGCCTGGTGCCACTGAGCCGGCCAGCACATTCAGCTGTTGGCTGCTTGTTGCAGGGGCCACACCGGCGGTGCCTGAAGCCCTCTGCACTGCCAAGGGCTGAGTGGCAGTCAGCTGTTGCAAGGTGGGCGTCCCAGCCCGTTGCTCCCTCTGCAGCCCCACGACTGTTGGCACAGAGAGACTTGGCAAAGTTCTGGTCAGGCATGAGACCCTGTGATGCTCGGTGGAAGCTCTTGTTTACACGCCTCTGCTGTTCGCTCAGGGGACTCAGGAAATGGGGGTCACCACTCCTTCGGGCCTTCTTCACTCAATGCCCTCAGGGTCCATGCTTCTCACCCCAATGGGCCTCGTTTCTCAGACATGGCCTCTGCTCAGAGACAAAGATCAGGTCTAATTTTAACTGCACCCTCGTCCTGCACGCAGGAGCGTTGGCGGCACCCAGTGCTAATTCATTCACTGCCGAGCAAGAATCTTACCGACATTCAACGGGTGATTTACCACCCTCTGAGGTCTGGGTTTGCGACCATAACAGATGACTTTGAAAGGGAGAAATTTCCATGCTAGCCCTTTGGCTATTTCTTTATTTGGCGGGGTGCATACTGGAGGTGCTCAGAGCTTATTCCTGGCTCTGCACTCAGGGATCTCTCTTGGCAGGGCTCGGGGGACCATATGGGGTGCCAGGTTGGCTGTAGGCAAGGCAAGTGCCCTCCCTTCTGTACTACAGCACTACCCCCGCCCCGCCCCCTCCCGCCCCTTTGGCTACTATAGCTGCTTCTTCCTGACCCCTCCTCTCTAGGGGGAGCAATAGGGAATTGATAGTTTTGGTGTTTTGTTTTTTTTTAAATCTCTTTGGCTGGTTCTACGAACCACTTCCTTCCAGATTCTGTGGGCTGGACTGGGGACGTCCAAAGACAAAAAAGGGGTCAGGGGCTGGAGAGACAGTACAGGAGGCAGGGTACTTGCTTAGCATGCTGCCAGCCCAGGCTCAATCTCCAGCACCGCATATGTTCCCCAGGAGTGAGCCTGAGCACTACCAAGGGTGGCCCCCAAATCTCACACACACACACACACACACACGCACACAAACACAAACACACACATGTGCATGTACACACACATATACACATGCATGTGCGCACGCACACACACACACGCACACACATGCACACACATGCACACACACACACAAACACAAACACACACATGTGCATGTACACACACATATACACAGGCATGTGCGCACACGCACACACACGCACACACATGCACACACACACAAACACAAACACACACATGTGCATGTACACACATATACACATGCATGTGCGCACGCACACACACACGCACACACATGCACACACACACGCACACAAACACACACATGTGCATGTACACACACATATACACATGCATGTGTGCACGCACACACACGCACACACACGCACACACACACAGTGGCATCAGGAGAAAGGATCCTAGTCAGGCGAAGTGACGCTCTCAGAAGTTAAGCCCGAGAGAGGGGAGCCCCTCCACCCCCCACTCTGCACGCCCCAAGTCAAGACTCTTCTCTTCCTGCTCACAGCAGATTCCAGTGCTCAGAATCCTAAGCTGGAGACAGGCAGACCTTCAAACCTGATCTTTCAGGAAGACCATGAGCCGGGAGGGAAGACAGGAGGCCCCGAGGCAGGGACGGGCAGACTGAGCCCGAGACACCGCTTCGCCAACAGTAGGTCACCCTCCCAGCAGACTCTCACAACCTGGCTGGGCGCAGCCGGCACTGACTTGAGAAACGGCCGGGACTTCGCCTCGGTGCTGACTTACATTTACCTGAGCATTCTTCTAGGGACAGAGCTTCTATTTTTTTGGTGACAGACGGGGACACTGTGGGCAGAGATGCGACAGCACTTAGGGTGCTTGCCTTGCATGTGGAGACTCCGGTTTGATCCCCAGCACCGCTTAGGGTCCCCGAGCCCCGTCAGGAGGAATTCTGGAGCACAGAGTAGGATTTAAGCCCTGAGCACTGCCAGGTGTGCCCCCTGCCCCTCCAAAAACAAAATTCTCATCATGAGGTGAAGAAACAATACAAAGGTGAGGCGCTTGCCATGCATGTGGCTGGCCCATGTTTTGTCCCCAGCACCACACAGTTTCCCCTGAGGCCCGCCAGGAGAGATTCGGAAGCACAGAGCTAGGAGCAAGCCCTGAGCACTGCCGGGCGGGGTCCCCAGGCCCCCAAAACATAGACATTTGGGCTGGAGAGGTGTAGTCCAGGGGTTAAGGCACTGGCCTTGCACACAATGAACCCCTGTTGGATATTTGATACCCCACAGGGTCCCTCAAGCACTGTTTGTATTGTATAGTGATACTTCCTCATACATCAGGTGGGGGGTGGGTGGCTGGGTTGGGTCTGAGCGCAGGTGAGGTGCCCCAGGGACCGAAGACAAATCTCTGGCACCACATATGGTCCCCCAGGAACTGCCCCTGACCACAGTCCAGCATGAGAGCATGAGCTCCCTGCTCCCTGCAAAGGGACCCCCCCCCCCCCACACACACACAAGGAGGCTGTCAGAGGCAAGGCACTTGACTGTTCACGGGCCCCATTGCGGGCAGCTGGATGCTGGAAGGGCTCCCCAAATCTGCATGAGGGAAAACCCTCTGCCAGGAATAAAGGTCTCCTGGATGGCCCAGGTTCTTCTCGGGAGGTCAGTTCCCCCTGATGTGAAACCAGCCCTCCCACAATCTGGGTGGTCACCCTCACTGGCCCTGAGAATCTTAGGGTATGCGGGCTGCTCAGTCTTCCTTGCAGCTGATGTGCCAATGCTGCGAACGGCCTTGGGGATTTCTTTCCGCCTCCAACCCCTGCAGTGACCCCCCTCGTTCCCCAGGGAACCCCACGTCCTCACGTCCTCACCTGCGCCCAGGCCCAGGCCAGCCCCTGGCCTCCTGATCTATGAGGAAGTACCGGCTGCACGAGTGACTCAGGATGTGGACAGAGCAGTCATGTGGGATGTTCTTCCACAGAGCCTTCAGACAGAGCCGGCTCCAGTGATGTCAATTACAGAAAGTTCTGGAAAGAAAGCTGGGGTGGGGGTCGGGGGCAGGGGCACTGTACCACATGCCAGTGGGCTCAAGGCAGGTCGTGCGTCTGTACTGTCCGAGGGGTCCTTGCTCAAATAGCTTCTAAAAGCCCTCTTCTCTTTTTGCTGCAAACTTGTCTATCTTTTCCTTCCTTCCTTCCGTCCTTCCTTCCTTCTTTCCTTCCTTCCTTCCTTCCTTCCTTCCTTCCTTCCTTCCTTCCTCCCTCCCTCCCTCCCTCCCTCCTTCCCTCCTTTCCTCCCTTCCTCCCTCCCTCCCTCCTTTCCTTCCTTCCTTCTTCCCCTCCTTCTCTTCCTCCCTCCCTCCCTCCCTTCCTCCCTCCCTCCTTCCCTCCCTCCCTTCCCCTCTCTCTCCTTTCCTCCCTTCCTTTTCCCTTCCTTCTTTCCCTTCTTTCCCTCCTTTCCCTCCCTCTCTCTCTCTCTCTCTCCCTCCCTCCCTCTTGAGACTCCTAAGAAAACCTATTTTCTAGTTTGGGGGCAGGGGAGGAGGTGGGGGAGCAGTCTGACCATTGACAGCTGTTACTCAGGGTCTTCCGAGGGGCGTGGGGCTGCTACAGCCCTCCCCACCAGTCCACCCCGGGAAGGGCACACGGGCAATTCGGACAATGAGTGCGCTGAGGGGCATGTCCTGTTTACAAGCCAGCCTGGGCAGGCAGGGCGGAGGGAAGGGAGCCAGCTCTGGTGCAGGGACCAGAACAAGATGTTCTAGTAGGTTCCACACGGTGAGAAGGGGTGCGGGCGGCAGGTCACCAGCCCTGTCTCGCTGTTGTGGGTTTTTGTCTTTAAGCGGCATGGAACCCACAGTCAGAGAACATGGGACACTCATGCTTGGGGGCCGGAAAGATGGTTCAGTGGGCAGAGCACAGGTGCTGTGTGCAGGGGGCCTGGTCCCCCGCCCCAGTCCCCCAAACACACAAGCACTGCTGGGAGAGACATCCTCACAAAATCAACAATCACACACACACACACACACACACACACACACACACACACACACACACACAGGCCACTGACACTGGGAATCTGAAATTTCTACTTTGAAATGCATTATCTGGCACTCCCTGGGGCCAGGGAGGGGGGTAATCCCCAAGATTCCCATGGATTCTCAGGGAATTCTCATCGGGAACAAGGGCTGTTGGTGGCGAGAGGGAGGTGAAGAGCTGAGACCGGGACTGTGATGGAGCATCTGAGCCCAGCAGGCAGAAGTGGTTCCCAGTTCAGCTTTTTGTTTTACTCATTCGGGAGGGCTCCCAAGCAGTGCTCAGGGCACCCAGGATCCCTCCTGATCATAGTCAGCCTACGGACCTGGAGGGGTCAACACTTGGGGAACCAGGGCAGGTGGGAGTGAACTTGGGTCTCTGCCAGGGCAAGAGCCCTGAGCTTGCTCCCCGGTTCCCGAAATGGTGCTTCCAAGAGTCAGGATAATAGGACAGCGGGGAGGGCACTCGCTTGTCTTGCACGTGGCCAACCCAGATTTGATCCCTGGCACCAATGTGCCTGTGCCAGGAGTGATCCCTGAGTGCAGCGGCAGAAGTGAGCCCTGAGCACTGCAGGGTGTGGCTTCCAAACCAAAAGAAATGGTTCTTCCAGCGTGAGCTTGGGGGGAATAAGGATAGAGGCCAGCCCTGCCCCATGGACAGCGCCTCCGACAGACTGTCCTTCTCGTCCCTGGAGCCCCTGGGTGTCCCACCCCACCCTTTCCTGTGGCCACACTCAAGAAGTTTCCTGCCATCTGCTGGCTGGACCTGGGACAGGGAGGGCAAGGGGGGAGGAGGCATTTCCAAATACAAAAAGGAAACCCATCACCACGAGGGGTTGAGTGGCAGGAAAGGAGGAACTCACGGTCCTGATAATCAAAGGGGGTGGGGGGGTCTGAGGTACTTGGGTGGGAGAAGACTTGGCTGGGGTGACCCTGGAGGTGAGACCCACAGGAGGGGGGCAGCTCAGTGAGGGGGGGGCAGGCAGGAAGGTCGGGGGCCTGGGGGAGCCATGTGAATCTCTGTATCTCTCTCTTTCTCACACACACACACACGTGCATGTACTCTCTCGCACACACACAGATCCCTCACTGACACAAACATATATATACATACATCACACATACACATTTCACACACTCAAATGTCATACATATATACCACTCTCTGACACATGTACTCACATCATCACACACGCACTCACATACACACACTCCCATATACACACATCGCACATGCACACACATCACACAAGTACACTCATATCACACATACACACTCACTCTCATACTCACATTGCAATACACTCTCACATCACACATACACACATTTGCATAAGTTTAACATATATACTCATATCACACATATACACATTACACATTCACTCACACACACACACACACATACAGACATACACACCTTCCAATGCTCTCAGAGTCACATACACATACTCATGGTCACAACACACACTGGCATCTCACACACACTCACCCCTACATAGACCGATGCACTCACAGTCACACACTCACACATCCCACAAAGACCAAAAGTGGCTGGGCCTGGATTGAACATAGCTGATCCGAGCTGGTGGCCAGAGGAGGACGAGGCCGCCTGTCAGGGGCCTGTTCCAATCCTTCCTCCAGGCTGCTGGCTGGGTTCTTAGCCACCCCCCCTCCCCCACCAGCTCCCTGTTTCCTTCTCAAACAAACATGCTCGCTGGCAACGTGGCAGGAGAGATGTATGGAAACAATGGAGGAACTGTGGCAGGAGGGACGGGGAGGCTCCTGAGCCCCGGTGCCAACGGATTCGAAAACACACAGACAGAATCCCAGCTCCAGGAGACAGGAAGAAACGCCTCCAGGGATACAGAGTCATCTCAAGGCCAGAACGCAGAAAGAGGAAATCAGAACAGTAAATCGCAAATTGTTAGGCAAGTGACCTACGAAATTAAGATCTTACTTCTCTGCAAAAGTTACAAAACAGACAAACCATCAGCCAACACAGTCAAGAAAAAAGCGAAGAAATTTCTTACGACTCAGAAATCACAACGGCAAAATAACCATTAAAATAGTAGCGATTCTAAATGTTCATGGGACCAGTTTGCAAAACTCTACCTGAAAGATCTAAATAAAAAAGACATTAACCTAGAAAAAGTTTACCCAAATCATCCCACGAGAAAGAGAAATCTTCACAGACCTTTTTTTTTTTTTGGATAAACTGATAAAGAAAATTGTCAAGAAATTTCCCCCCAGAAGGGTTCAATGGGAAATAAGTGTCCAGAGACAGGGTAGTTCAATACTCCATAAATTCCTTAAGAACATATAAAATAAAGCTCATGAAGCAAAGGTGACATTGCTACTTAAATATCACTTGTAAATATTGTTGTACCGATCCCAAAATAAAAGCAAAACAGAATCAACATAACATTAAGAAAATAATTCAATATGACTCAGGAAATTTATTCCAGGAATGCTAGGGTGGCTCAATATTGTCCTAAAATATACCACATGGCTATGAAGAATGAACTGATTAGCCCCATCAATAGTTCAGTCTTTGATAAAATACAATGTTCATTCCCACTAAACTCATAAAAATAGAGACTAATGGATATACTCCCATAACATGATAAAATATATAAACCTTAGTCCTAAAGCCAGCCTTTACTAAATGCACTACCTTTAAAGACATTTCCAATATAATCAAGAACCAGGACAGTCTGCACATCATTTCTCCTGTTTATGACTGTACTTCAGGCACGAACCAATGCAATTAGGCCAGAAAAATCAATTCAAGGCATAAGAACCAGAAAACACAAAGTAAAACCATCTGCAGATTCCATGATACTAAACTCAGAGATCTTGGAAGATTCAACAGTTGAATTCACTCCATCAAGAAAGGCAGCAACTGGGGCTGGAGTGATAGCACAGCAGGTAGGGCGTTTGCCTTGCACGCGGACAGACCCAAGTTTGATTCCCAGGATTCCATATGGTCCCCCGAGCACAGCCAGAAGTAATTCCTGAGTGCATGAACCAGAAGTAACCCCTGTGCATCTTTGGGTGTGACCCAAAAAACAAATAAATTAATTAATTAATTTAATTAAATTTAAAAAAAGAAAGGCAGCAACTAATAGAACAGAAAATGGACTTCCTTATAGACACAAAATCACCAGTCAAAAGTTAAACAAGGGGATCAAACACTGGTTAGAATGGCATTAAAGAAGATAAAATGATGCTTTGATGCCAACTTAATTTAAACTTTTCAATATTTACATAAGGCACACCTTATTTTTTAATTTAATTTTTAGACTTTTTTTTTTGGCCACACCCAGTGATGCTCAGGGCTGACTCCTGGCTCTGTACTCAGGGATCACTACTGGTGGGACTTGAGGGCCCATAGGTGGTGCTGGGGATTGAACCCAGGTTTGCTGCATGCAAGGCAAAAAGCCACTAAACTTTTAATGGAGCTAGACAAGTCGATATTAAGATTCACGTGGGAACAAGAGATGCAAGAATAGCGAGAGGCCACAGACACAGGTCAGAGGAGTTGGGGCTCTTGTCTTGCAGGTGGCCAGCCCCAGTTCAATCTCTGGAAACCTGCATTCCTTCAGGCATTGAGAATGCACCCCAGGAGCCCCTAAGCCCCATTGGGGAGGCCCAGGGCAGCCCCGGGACCCAAGCAGGACCGCATCCGTAGGGTGTTGCACGCAATTGCAGGCCCCATTGGCTGAGAATAACCAAAAGGTTAGGCCGCTCCCCTGCGGCCTCCTGAGCAGCGCCCCTAAATATATGTCTAGGAAACCTGCAGGTCACTGGGGGTGCTCTCAGATATGACATCCTGCTGTTGGCTCTCAGATCCCCTTGATACAGACCTCTCTGTCCCCAGAGACAGCTCTCTGGAAGAAGAGCGACGGCCGCTCCTCACAACCACTCCCGCGCATTGAACCCCGGCTGAAAAAGCAAGAGGCAGCGAAGTGCTCCAAGCAAGCAGAAGTTTTCCACAGAGGAGCAGGCCCTGAGTAACGGACAGCATCTAATGGGAGCTGGATAAATCAGACTATCGAAAAATGAAAAATTAGTAGCGTGGTTAAAAAAGAAAAAGTTTTTTTTTTTAATTTAAAAATATACACAGGTGCGAGGGATGCAGGATCTTTGAGCCCAAGAGCATTGGCTCATGGTCTCTGCAGACGTCTGATCATGTGACACCACTTACAAGGTCTCCTTTCAAATGACCACTGGGGGGATTGGAGGGTGTGGTGGGGTTTTTTCTCCACCTTCACGTTAGTGTCACTTCACCTTCTTTAGCTTCTTGTGGGCCCCAGTGTAGTTCTTCTGTGCCAGGTCGGCCGTGCTCAGGATTCTGTAGGTCTCCACCACCTCAGGGCTGAGGTCTCCGAACACACCCTCTTTGGCTTCTAGGGACTCCCGCAGGATGGCGAAGGCTTTCTGCAGAGGGGGCACAGGGCCGTCAGGGTGAGAGGGCAGAGGCGGGCGGGCCCCGTCCGTAGCTTGCTGGTGGGCTTCAGGGGTGCACTCTGGAAGGGGATGGGGTGGGGCCCGAAGCAGACTGACTTCCCCCTGGGTTCTTGAGCACTACCCACAGTGAACCTCTGGGAATGTTCTAGAATCAGAGCAGCCCCCACCCCTATCCTGGCAGGAAGCACCTCTCTATTTCACTGGGGGATCCAGAAAAGCCCCTAAACTCCAACTGAGACTGTTGCTATTGCCCCTGTGAGGCCAGAGGAAGTGGCAGTGGGTTGAGGATTGTGGGTGTGAATGAAAAGTCTAAATAAAAAAATGAAACTGGAGGCCAGAGTGATAGCACAGCAAGGAGGACCTTTGCCTTGAACGTGGCCAACCCAGGTTTGAGCCCTGGCATCCCACAGGGTCGCCTGAGCACCGCCAGGAGTGATTCCTGGGTGCAGAGCCAGAAGTAACCCCTGAGCATCACCAGGTGTGACCACAAAAGCCAAAACCAAACAAACAAACAAACAAAAAAAAAAAAACAGAAACCGACTGAGACTGAGGTGAGAGAGATTAATTATTGGGGGCAGGGGCTGGTGAAAGAAGACAGCAGGGATGACACTGGCCTTGAAAGCAGCCAACCTGAGTTCGATCCTGAGCACCCATAGGGTCCCCAGAGCCCCACCAAGAGTGATCCCTGAACACAGAGCCAGGAGTCAGCCTTGAGCACCACTGGATGTGGCCCCAACCCCCAACCCCCCCCCCACCAGAAAAAGAGAGTAGATGGGTCGCAGCCCTTGTCTTGCGTGCAACTGACCTGGGTTCAGTCCCCGACTCTGCAAAGGAGCCCTGTGAGGAGTAAACCCTGAGCACCATGGGATGTGGCCCCCAAACAAAGACATACACACAAAAAGAATTGGGAGAGTGTTCTCCGCAGCAGGCAACACAAACAACAACATTTTATCTGCAGGGTTTACCTTGATGCAGGGTTTACCTTTTCTTTCGTGTCTACATAAATGGAGCCACAGGACGTGCTGAGAGCTTATGGCTTGGTGGGAAGTTAAGGCCCCATCAACCCAGGAAAGTGAGTCTGTGAGCCCACCTCTACAGAGAGAGCGCTGGGGCAGATGATGTGTGGGACGCCTGGGTGCTGCGTAGGACCCTAGGTGCTGCGTGGGACCCCCAGGTGCTGTGTGGGACCCCGGGTGCTGCATGGGACCGCCAGAGGCACACACCTCACTCCACGCTGGGGCTTCTAGGCACCCACCTGTGTGTGTGAAACTGGGAAAAAGCCACATACCTCTTGCTGGCCGGTGGCTTGTAGAAACTGGCAGTATTCATCCTGGATGGAGAGGAATCTGGCTTTCCCTAGCTCTTCGCACTTCTTGAGGTGTTCCAAGGTCTCCTGAAAATACTGGTCAGCTACATCTGAAGAAAAGGGGAGGCAACACCAGCTCTGCAAACTGCACAGTGCTTTGAGAGGGAAGCAGGGGAAATTAGGGGCTCTAAAGGAGGGAGCCTTTTTTGTGGGGGGGTCACCTCCGGCGATGTTCAGGGGTCAATCCTGGCTCTCCACGGAGGGAGCCAGAGAACTATGGAATGGAAAGAAGCTGACACAGTGGGACATCAGCCAATTGAGTCAGAACAGACCTGGGTCTCAGAAGGACCCTGCGATTTCTTTATGGCCACCTGGCGGTTTTCAGGGCTTGCTCCTGGCTCTGAGCTCAGGAATCGCTCCTGGTGGGCACAGGGGACCCTACGGGGTGGCAGGGATTAAACCAGGTTGACCAAGTATAAGGCAAGTGCCGCACCAGCTGTGTGAAGCCCCTGGATTGGGTTTTTAGAGTTCCTGGTTTGTTTGGGGGCCACACCTGTGCTCAGGGCTTACTCCTAGCTCTGTGCTTAGGAGTCACTCCTGGTGGGGCTCAAGGGACCCTCTGGGACACTGGAGATTGAACCTAGATAGGTCATGAGCAAGGCAAGCGATCTTCCCTGCTGTAACTGCTCCAGCCCCTGGTTTGGTTTTTTAGCTCACACCCAGCAGTGCTTGGGACTCACTCCTGGCTCTGTGCTCGGGGCTCACCTCTGGAGGGGCTGTAGATTTAATTAGGGTCAGTGGCATGTGAGAAAAGTGCCTTCATATCTCTCTCCCTCTCTCCTTCCTTTCTAACTGGAAGAAATTGAGTCTGAGTGGACTTTGCTAGGCCTTGTGCTCGCCCCCCTAAAGCTGTGTCCTTACTACCGTGAGGGGTGGTGTAGCCCATCCACTGATGCTGGGCCACAGAACAGGATCAGTGGCTCGAGCAGGCGCACGCGAGGCGTGTGTGGGCTGGGAGGCTGGGGGGGGGGGGGGGGGCTCGGTCCCGTTTGGATGCTCATATACAGGCAAAAGGAGCCTGGCCTTCACACAGGGCCTGAGGAATGTGGGCTGGTGACTTGGCACCAGCACCCGGAGGCTTTTAATTAAGATAAACAGCAGTGCTGGGACGCCCCGGGCAGGAGCTGGGCAGGCGAGGACAGACAGGCTGGGCAGCGGCAGGACCCCGGGGCCCTGAGAAATGGTGGCTCCAGTCTGCGCCCAGTTGTCCTCCCCCTGCCTTGGGCCCCCTCAACCTAGGGACCCTCCTGCTCACAGCTGCGCGTTCCAGGTGTTCATGGGGTCCAGAGACCAGGTGACACAGGTCCCACCAGGGCTGTCACTGTGGGGGTCTCTGTCTCCATCTGGCCATGGTCCCTGCCCCTGGCATGGCATCAGTTGGGAAGTTCAGGATCAGTCCCCCACCACATCACATATCCAGGTGATTCAGACACATTGGGGGCAGGAGGGCGGGGGTACGGAGACAGCAATCAGGGATCTGGGGTGCATGTGCCTCTCTCCCAGGGTCAAAGGGCAGAGCACAGGTGAAGCCCAACACAGCTTCCGTTCTGCATGTGGACACCCATGGGGTGAGGAAGGGTCTCCCATCCTGCCCGGCAGCTCTGGAGAGTGGGCAACATGGCTCATCCTAGTCTCTCCTCTCACCCCAACCTCCCTAGATGGGGCATATGCTGTGGAGCCTTCTAGAAGTTTCTGAGCTCTTGAGAAACCAAACATGAGCCCTCCTCCCTCCCGGGTACTGCCCTCTGCTCTGGGGGAGCCCCCAAATGCAGCTGATCTCTGGCATCCAGGGCATGGGGGTGGGGGTATGGCAAGACAAGGCCCTGGGGAGGGGTGGAGGTGGGTCTGGGGCCCACGGGACTATGGCAAGGGCAAAAGACGCAGGTGGGCAGGAGGAAGAAGGAAGAGGAAGGGAGAGAGGTCAGGGCCCCCTGGGGTTCTCCCTGCTCCCCTGCATCCCCAGGCCTTCATTCGGGGTCTGAGGCTGGAGCAGGGCAGGGAGGTGCCTGGGGAGCCGCTTAGAGGCATTTGAGGGGCAGGAGGCCTAGAGACCCCGCGGCGGGCAGGAGCCCACAGGGTCTGGTTCCGGGAGACACTGCAGGAACAGCTCAGGGACACGCCGAGAAGTAGGTGCAGGGACACGCCAAGAAGTAGGTGCCGGGTCCCCGTGGAAGGTGGGAAAGGGAAGGCTGCTGGGGGATCTCAGGAAGGCAACCCAGCTCCCAGACCCCCACAACTCCCAGCTGTCCTGGGGTGAGCCATTGCCTGGCTGGCACCTCTTCCAAACAAGGGCCTCCTGGGCAGCACTGGGGTTTACGACTTGGCGCCCGGCCCTGCCTTGTCGGTCTCCTGGGATAAGGGGCTGGAAATAGGGGGTCTGCACCCCGCAGCAATCTCGCCGGCCCAGCGTCACCCCAACCAAGTTTGTCCAAGGCTGCGGGGTCCTCACCCGATCCGGGCTACATGAGCTCTGGCCAGTTTTGTCTGCATAAGGCTCGTGGGGGAGCCCCGAGCCTGAGCATTCGCTGGCATGCAGACCAGAAACTCCGGCTTCTTGGCCCGAAGCCCGTTTGCCCAAGGACAGCGCCTTCCATGGGCATCTGCAGGCCCGCTAGTGTGGCTAGAAAGGTGTGGGCAGGTTTCAGCCCAGGGCACGGAGGGCGCAGAGACAGGGTCCCCGGGGGTCTGACTAGCCAGGTCCCAGGCCACAGTCAGAGTGGGTCACAGCAATGCTTCCTGAGCTGAGTTTCTATTTCTTTTCTCCCATGTGGGGGCACATGAGGGGCTTACAGAGTCCCCGCCGTCTGGGGGCCGCCCTTCCCGGTTCCCCCTGCATTATCTGGGTGGACGTGACAAGTGCCTATCCGGAAACAGCCCTGGGTGGACAGAGGAACTCTCAAGTTTGGGGGCAGCGGTGAGTGGACACTGAGGTGGGAAGGAAAAGGGGCTACAGGGACCCCTAGTGGACCCAGTCCAGGAGTAAGCACTCATGCCGGGGAGCAGAAGAGGGCCCAACAGGGCTCCCTGGGAAGCACCACCACTCACCCCATCCTTGCTCCACTTCCTCTGCACCTCTCCCTGTCTACAACCCCAGATCTGCTTCCGCCTTTCCACTTCTCCCATGTGTCAGCTGTGGTGGGCAGGTCGGGGTGCAGCGTGCCTGATCTCTGCCCCTGGCTGCCACCAGGGACTCCCCAAACCCACTTCCCTCTTCTTGACTCCTGTCCATCCCTCTCTCTGGGTGGCCTCGCAAGAGGAGGCCTGCAAGGAGAGGCCCCGTGCCTCCTGGTGCCTTTACAAGGTGACCTGGAGGTCGAGTCTGAATTCTAACATGCCACAGGCCAGCTCGGGCCAGGCGGGACATGAGCTAACCTGCCCGGGCCTCAGACTCTCCACGGATGACAGAGACTGTTCTTACTGCTTAGGGCTGTTGTGGGACTGAGCTAATGTACTGTATTTCCCCACTGTTGGATTGTCGCACCCTGATTTTAAGTATTACTAGCACAATGTAAAACTGTGTGTGTGTGTGTGTGTGTGTGTGTGCGTGTGTGTGTGCGTGCATGTGTGTGTGTTGGGATGATGAGTGTTTCACAGGACCAGAGAGTGCTCTGCTTTGCCTGCAGGATCCCTGGGTTCTGCCTGGCATGATGCCCTGAGCACCTCTGGGTATTACACCAAATTGGAAAAAACAAAGCGCTGGAGATCAAACCCGGGTTGGTCACATGGAGCGGGTGGCTGTATACACATGGCCAACCTGGTTTCGATCCCCGGCATCCCATAGGTTCCCAGAGCCTGCCAGGAGTGATCCCTGAGCACCACCAGGTGTGGCCCAAAAACCAAAGAGAAGGAAAGGGCAATTGTGCTGTCGCATGCGGGGGTGGCGCAGACATCATGAGCCCCACCCTGGCTCACATAGGCATCTGCTGTGAGTGAGGCTGTTTCTGGAAAGTTTGATGCATACATGCACCCCAAACCCTCCCCCAAAAAGTCCTGAGACTGGGTGTCCTCTGTCCAGAGAGGCAGAAGGAATAGCCGGGCCCAGCAGGAAGGTGGATACAAGGACCCCCAGAGCAGAAGAAAACCCATGAGGAGTCAACAAGATGGAGCAAAACTGTTCCCCTGGGGGCAACATGTCCACCATCTCCCCAGGGGCCATGTGTCCACCCGTCTCCCCAGGACCATGTGTCCACACATTTACCAGGCCCACATGTCTCCCCATCTCCTGGGGGCCATGTGTCCACCATCTCCCCAGGGGCCACGTGTCCACCCATCTACCAGGACCACATGTCCACCCATCTCCCCAGGGGCCACATGTCCACCCATCCCCAAGGGCCATGCCTCCCCCAAGGGCCTGGCTCCTAACAGTCCCCAGTGATCTAGTAACAGACACAGACATGGGACAGGAGTGGGCAGGGGGAGCAGGGGGCCCAACCCCCAGGCATCTCTCACCATGGTGCTCAGGTGTCCCTGAGGTGAGGGCAGCGTGTGCTACACAGTGCGCAGAGTCGGCTGCGTCCTCATTCAAGGGGCTTCTGCTCAGGAGGATGAGGTGAGCCTGTGACCAAAGAGCAGAAACACGCAGGTTTGAAACATCCACTTATGAAGGCCAAGCACTGGCCTTGCACACGGCCAACCCAGCTTCGATTCCTGGCACCCCATAGTGTCCCTTGAGCACTTCCAGGAGTTATTTAAAGTGCAGAGCCAGAAGCAAGCCCTGAAGACCACCAGGTGTGGCACCCAAACCAAAATACTACTACTACTATGATAGCACAGCGGTAGGGCATTTGCCTTGCGCGTGGCCGACCCAGCTGAGCCGGGTTTGATTCCTCCGCCCCTCTCGGACAGCCTGGCAAGCTACCAAGAGTATCTCGCCCACACGGCAAAACCTGGGAAGCTACCCGTGATGTATTCGATATGCCAAACACAGTAACAACTAGTTTCACGATGGAGATGTTACTGGGCCCGCTCGAGCAAATCAATGAACAGCAGGAGGACAGTGCCACAGTGCTACTAATAGTACTTATGGCTTTGAAAAGCTGCTGCCCCCTTTATCAAAGTGCCCTTGACCTTCCTCCGAGCCTGTCCCCATGGTCCTTCTATGCCTCTTCCCTCTCCTGAGCCTCTGCCTGCACTGCTTGGCCATCTCAGTTCTATCAGCCACGGCCAAGGACTCATCATCTTTGGCTACTGTCCATCCCCTTGTTCTCTCTATACCATGTGTCAGCTAAGTGGTGTTTGTCCTTCTCCCTCTGACCTATTTTGCCCGATGCACACCAAGAATTTGTCTAAACTTACAGCTGTGCTGTGCCCCACTGTGGATGTGGATTTCAACCGTGGCTTCTTGGCCCACTCACCTGTGCCTGATATTTGAGTTATTTCCATATCCTGCCCAGAATATTTAAACACTGAGTTAAAAAGAGATACTCCCAGGTGGGGAGAGGGGAAACACGACCTAGTGTGGTTTAGGTTGTGCTTCCCCTTCTCTTGGTTTTCTGGAGCAACAACAGGCAGATAGGACTCTGCAGAGAAGTTTATAGCATACAGCCTAATGGCATAAGGGACTGGCTATGGAAGAATATGGATGGTCACAGAAGGACCACGGAATGATGACCTCAGGAGGAAGACTATGGAAGGATTACCACGGAGACCATGGAAAGATGGCCATAGAAGGACCACAGAAGGAGGACTATGGAAGGAAGACCACGGAAGGAGGACCATGGAAAGAAAACCACGAAAGGATCACGGAAGGAGGACCACAGAAGGAAGACCACAGAATGATCACAGAAGGAGGACCATGGAAGGAAGACCACGGAAGGAAGGCCAAAGAAGAATGGCCAGCCCATTGCCTCAAAGCCTATTGGACAGCTATGTATGAGCCAGAGGTGATGGGGCAACTGCGGCCTCATGGGATGGGGGGCAGAACTGGCATGTCCTTCCTGCTCCTCTGAGGCCATGAGTTGCCCCCCCACGAGTGGCTCTCTGGCACGGCCATGGCCCCAGAGGCACACAAACGAATCTTAGATCTATGCAGCTTTTGGCAGAAATCCCTCCAGACTTAATTAGTAAAATATCAGAAGTCCAAAAATCGTGAGGCCGCAATAGCAGCTGCATGACATCATATGCTCTTCATAACCAGGAATAGAAAACAAATTATTTCATGATGCTTTTCAGCAGGTCTGATTGTTAGGGGGAAATTTCAAATAATAATGGTGCGACTTTTGTTGAAAATAATGAATGTAATCAAAGTAGAGAGAGAGTTCAGTGGAAATCGTCTGCCTCACAGGCAGGGGGAGGGTTGGGATGGGGGTATATTGGGGTTCTCGGCAGTGGAAAATATGCACTGGTGAAGGGAAGGGTGTTTGATCATTGTATGACCAAGACTTAAACCTGAAGCTTTGTAACTGTTCTCACGGTGATTCAATAAATAAATTAAGTAAAGTAAAGGTCCTCCCGTTGATCATCGATTTGCTCGAGCTGGCCCAGTAACGTCTCCATTGGAGACTTTGTTGTTACTGTGTCTGGCATATCGAATACTCTCGGTAGCTTGCCGGGCTCTCCGAGAGGGGCGGAGGAATCGAACTCGGGTCGGCCATGTAGGCTGCGTGCGAGGCAAACGCCCTACCGCTGTGCTATCGCTCCAGCCCTAAAAAAGAAGGATGACCACTGTTTAATATCTACCTTTTCATCTAGACACTGACACTCACCTGTCACCTGTTTTCAATGATCCTCGTAACAAGTCGTCACTATCCCGTCCTTTACCCCCATACTTGCGGTTTGGAAATGGAAGCTCGCAACTGCCCATCTGACCATCCTCTAGCCACTTTGGGGGTCTGTTGCCTGGGTTCCATGCAGAGGGATCGCACACATTCGTCTCTCTGCTGTCTTGCTTCACTTAGCGCTGCGCCCCCAGATCTGTCCGTTTTGGGGCAAACATCTAAGTGGCTCCTTGCCACTTTCTCATGTGCGATGCAAATCTGTCCTTTACTTTTTTTTTTTTTTTTTTTTTTTTGGCTTTTTGGGTCACACCCGGCGATGCACAGGGAATACTCCTGGCTCTGCACTCAGGAATTACTCCTGGCAGTGCTCAGGGGACCATATGGGATGCTGGGAATCGAACCTGGGTTGGCCGGCTGCAAGGCAAATACCTTACCCGCTGTGCTATTGCTCCAGCCCAAAATCTGTCTTTTCTTGAGGGACTTTATTATGTAGCTACAGATGAGAAGACTGAACTAGAAGCTGGATGGATGAGGGGGCGATGCTGAAAGGGGCTACGCCAGGACACCTCATAGCTAAGGGGGCGCAGGGCCCGGAAATATATCCTCTGGAGCTTGCGAGCTTCTTCCAACCTTTGTTCAGGGTCACTCCCAACAGTACTTGGGGGACCTTGCAGTGCCCGGAACTGAGCTGGCCACATGCCAGGCAAACACTTTAACCCCTGTGCTCTCTGGGGCCTCTTTACCTTGAAACTCCATCTGCAGATTCTGATTTTTTTCTGTCATGTCATGAATATTAGCATGCCTCCCATCCCCAATTTGGTCTGATGCACTAACTTGAAATGCATTAGAAAAGAAGCCAACAACAAAACAAAGCAACATAACAGTAGAATTGATCCACACAACTGACGGGGGCGGGGGGGAGGTGATAAAAGAGAGGGTGCTGAGGTCCAGTGGAGGAAAACAGGTCACTGGTGTGGCTGGAATTGTAGACATGAGAAACCATTATTAATTACGTGCATGAGAACCCATTCTATATCAACCATAGGAAAAGTTGCTTTTTTTTAATTCTTTGTTTGGGGGCCACATCTGGCAATGCTTAGGGGTTACCCCTCGCTCTGCACTCAGGAATCACTGCAGGAACAGGGGACCATATGGGATGTCGGGGATTGAATCTGGGTCTGTCATGTGCAAAGCAAGTCCCTTATCCACTGTAATATCTCTCCAGGCCCCAGAAAAAAAATATTTTTAATTAAATTTTTAAAAGAGGGGTTATGGGCCAAAGTGATAGTATAGCAAGAAAGGCGCTTGCCTTGCATGTGGTAGGCCCAAGGTTGATTCCCAGCACCGTCCCCCAAGCACTGCCAGGAGTGATTCCTGAAGGCAGAGCCAGGAGTAACCCCTGAACATTGCCAGGTGTGGGTCCCCCCAAAAGGGGGTGTTACTCGGCAGTGCTGGGGGCATCAGGGCTACGCTTCGCAGTGCTGTGGGACTGAGAGGTGCTCAGGATCCGTAAAGCTAAGCGGGCACTTTCCCACTTGAGCTGTTGCCTGACCTCTCTGGCTTGAAATGCTTCCAAGTTCTCCCAAATGTGAGAGTACATGATAAAGGAGCAGGGCAAAGTTGGGAGATAGCGGGGATCCCCGGCCCTGCCACGTGGTCAGTGTTTGGGGACAGGGACGGGAGCGTGAAAAGCCAGCCCCGCCCCGAGGCCGGCTGAGTCATGATCCCTTTCTGCTTCCCCTGTGAAGTCTGTCCAGCCTGTTTTTAAAGAGACCAGCCCCAGGGCCGGGGGGTGGGGGGTGGGGGGCAGAAAAAAAGAACCCAGGGCACCCCAATGAGCCCTGCCAGGAGCGAGCCGTGAGCACTGTTGGGGTGTGGCCCCCAAACATAAGAGAAAAGCCAAGGTCACCCCTGAAACCCAGTGAGTCTGACTCTTACTATCGCAGAGTGTGGGACACGGGGTTTTCAGAGGGTCCAATTGAGATATCTTCCAATCCCTTTTGTGCGGGAGTTCAGGGACACGCCTTCCATGTGACCAGCCTTAGCTCCCTCTTGGCACCATCTATGGTTCCTCTTGAGCATCAGCCCCCTCACCCTCACCTCAGCACCCCTGGGTGTTGCCCTGGACAGATTTTCAGGCCCATGCATAGAACTTGTCTAGGGAAGGGTCCCAGGACACCTGAACACCCAGGAGGACCCCTGAGGGACCCCTGCCCCCAACCAAGGGAAAAAAAACACTTGATTTTGTTTCCAATCACTGCCAACGTGTAGCTATGTGTCCAGTGCTCAGGAGTACAAGCCTCACATGCACGAAGCCAGAGTTTGGCCCTGACTGGCATCACAGGGGCTGTGGTGCTGGAGTCCCCCAGGGACGCCCAGGAGCAGCCCCCACCCCATCATGGGATGGCTCACTGTCCACTCAAACAGGAGTGGGAACAGGTCTGGAGCCACCAGCAATGCTGGGAAGACCCCCCAAAAGGAGAGGAAGCTCGAATGGATCGCTCAGACCTTCTCTGTGAGCCACCTTTGGGCCGGGGAGACAGGAAGCAGAAATGCTCCACAGCTGCACAGCGGACCCAGGATGGAGTCTGGCCCTAGCACAGAATCTTCATGACCTCAACATATTTTTTTTTCTGTGTAAGATGCTAATATAAGCACAACATTTATTATTCATAATGCACTTCGGAAACTCAATCCCTGATCTAATTTATTACTTGACATTCATGAAGCTTCTGAAAAAAAAAAACATATGCTGGCTGGGATGGGGGTGTGTTTGCAGCAGAAGGACAGTGGAGAAAGGAAGGAAGGGGCTCATTTAAAATGTGCACGATTAGCGTTT